GTGGAGGAAAGAGGATCCATGCGACACGATAATGTTGGTCACCTCGTATGCAAACAGCGACCGATAAGCGTGAGGTTGTTTACCAGCAACTCGCGCTTGTATAACCCTTCGCTTGAATAGATTTCGTCATCAAAGGCATATACAGTACGTTACTTGCGAGTTTCATGCACGAATTGAGAACCTGGGGATGATACAGCTTCGCATTGTGGCGATCAATGGTATGACAAGCTACCCCTAACATTCTTCAAACAATGGCGACCTAGACTCTGGAGGTTGCATACAGCCTTGGTTGATGAAACAGATGGAAAGCAGGCTCAAATGGCCAATTTCCTTTTCTGGATTCGAGATAAATCCTGAGCTAGAGATGTGTGCCTGTACCTAGCAGGGAAAGGAATGATGATCTAATCAGGGAGCCGCAGACAGATCATCTCAAATCATAGGCATCTATTTCTACTTGAGACACCCAGCCCTCTTGGTGAGAACGCATATTGATTGTAATATCAAAACTTCATCATAAATAAACCATGGGGTCATATTGTCCAAACAAAGAAAGAAAGCTGCTAAGCTCTTTACGTAGCGTGGAAGCGAGCGGTGATGCACATTTCGCCCCCAAAGTCATACCCCTAACTGATGAGGATCATGGAAGGGGAGGGGAGGAAAGTCCGTCAGCATGGTACCTCGAAATTGTTTCTTCTCCTCCCCCCTGAAGCTGGATCATTTAAGTTACAATTGCGGTCGCAGGTGCCAATGCCACGTGCTGGGAAATTGCCCGAGTTGGCAGCTGTCATACACACCTACCTCGTGTCGATGTTCACGGACACAGCCGTTGCGGTCCACTCTGAAGTAGCGAGAGAGCTCGGGTCTACGATGGTCGTTTACTAAACACTTAGCGTAACTAGAGGTCTGTTCAACAGGAATAGAGATTTCCTCCCGTGCGAGAATGAATGCGTGATGATACTCGTACTTTGACGCAGATCAGGAGATGCTCAGGAATAACTTATTTCATCGGATTTACGTTTCAGATCTGCACGCCGCTTGCCTAGTGCAGGAATGACAGATTTGACTGACAGGTGATGCGCGCGGAGTCCGGAGTACAGAGAATGCGACGAGAGAGTTCTGGAATGTTTCAGGTTCGAAATGGCGGACAAGGGGGAGGGGAGGGGGATAGAGAAGGGGCTCAACAAGGGAATATTGAGTGGTTTCACCGAGTAGCAGGCAGGGTATGATTTCTGCCCCGCAGTACGGCTCCATTTTTGGTTTATTTTTTTTTCTTGCCACCAAGTGACCTTCAATCCCTGGGCTTCAAGGGACTACTCAATAGTACGTATTCATTATCTATGAGTGGTATCCTAGCGTGAACAGCATCTAGACTGTTGACCAAGAAGCTTGGCGGTTCCTGGTGGTCACAAAATAATCAAGTCAGAACTTCGGGCAACACCGAGACGAGACTATGGTATGGTGGACTGTATAGTTGCATAACAATGTTATTTATTTGATAATTGAAAAGGATAATATGGGTAATAACATAATAAAGTAACAACAAGGATTATCTTCTCAACAAAGCCGCATGGAAGCGTCGATGATGTTCTAGCGTGCTACTCAGCACCTTCAAAGGATTGGGATGCATGCATGCAGTGAGTGGATGGGGCATTTTGCTGGACCTCTCAGGGCTGCTGTCCGCGGGGCTGGTGAAGCTTCCCCCTACGGTTTCAGATTTCCAGGAAAACACCCCTCCGGGGGGAGCGATGGGTCCATTTCGCGATCAAGCGGTGAGAACAGGCCGACTGCGCCTCAAATGAGAATCCCGGGGCCCGTCATGCACGGGGATCTTCCAATGGTAAGGCGGGGAGATCCGCCGACTGACACATCATAGGCTGTTGAAGTGTGGCTCAACCCAGAGTGTGGCGCTAAATCGGTATCAATGGCACGATCTTCACCGCCGACCCTCCCTCGCTTTGATGCTCTCTCGGAGAAGAGCGTCGGCAACACATCCGCTCGGTTTGAATTTTTGACGATGATGATGATGATGCTGGTCATGATGTAGGTACTATGTCTATTGTCTGTGTGCTAACCTGCACGTGCATACTTGGCAGCAGCTTTGCAGATTGTTGTTTACTTCGTACTTTACCTACTATAGACAGTACTAGTGATACCATCCGGTCGCTGTCGAGGGAAATCCCCCCTTTATCCTGCAGGATGAGTTGATTTTGTTGGATCCCAAGGCTTTGGTAGCTACAAGGGCTGTAATCATCCTTGGTCATTGTTTCTTGTCTTTGATAGTATGACTGTAGTATTATCAACATAAATCATTGAGCACTATTTCCCCTCCAATTTGCATCATAGCGTAGCTGCCCTAGAGTGTATCCTCTCTCTGTGCCGCTTTCCGGACTGACAGTCTGCAGCACTCCTGCTGAGCCACACTAGACCCGCACACCCCGGCAGCCTCAATTTTGACTGCTGAGCATGAGTACGTCTGTCATGATTGCTGCCATGATGTCATTTAGATGATATCACCCCTTGTCTGTTTATTTCTCGAAAAAAAGATATACTTGGCAGAAATACAGTACCAGAATAGAGGAGATCCCGAGTCTATCGCAGTCATAATACCCGTTTTCCTCAAAAGAGTTCGGTTGGGCCCCGCCAGAAGAATCAAGATGAGCATGTGACCCTTTTGTGACGGGCAAATCCTTAGACTGTCAGACCAGTACACTTACAGAGCTTGTTGCGGCTCTGAGGGTAATTAATGGCGGCAGGTTCGTCGGCGTCCACTTTGGGTCCAAAGTGATTCAGAGGTCTGTCCCACGTCCCGGAATCCGGAAGTACTGTCACTCACTCACTGGCACTCTGGGATCATTGCAGCCCGGTGATTGGGCCACTCGTCTGCTAATCCAATGACGCTTCATTTCACCATCCTTCGCAGTCGGCCAATTGAGTGGTCAGGATCCGAGATGCACGTTTTCTTTGTGACGGGGTGGAGCTGAAACTAAGATCGTCGACAGGCCCATGAGTTCCAGAGGTTGGCGAATTGTGCTCGGAATTGACGGCCAAGGCCGAGATCCATCTGCCCTAGTGCTTTGCGACTAGCCTCATTCGAGGAACTCTCTGGACTCGCCCTAGTTAGTTAGTTACCCTACCTTACTAATTTACTAGTGGAGTGAGGATGATCTGAAGTCTGACCCGAGTTGACGGGACGATGTGCCTACTTGTAACATGGGGCCAGGATTGACATGTCAATCACGGGCAAAAAAAAGATTCAGACAGATGACTTCAGGACACGGTGTGAGGGAGAATGTCGCCGGTCAATCTTCTCTTTCGGTTTTTGGGTTGGACAATTCTCATGGACATGGACAGGAAACGTCCGACAACATACAATTTACTCGGTACCATTGTAACGAGTATAATGAATGGTCGACTACCTACAATGAATGAATGCTATTCTCCCCCAGCCGGGCTCCTGTCATCACGATAAATACTCCAGAGCCGACCAGAGCGCGGAGATGTCAGAGATAGTTTAATCTCAACCAATAGCGCGGTCTCCAGGACCATAGTCTATATTCAAACGGGCCATCGGCATAGCCAAGCTCTTGTGAAGGGATGGTACTATCTGTGCCACCACGGACTTCCCGACAACAAGATGCGGATACGAATGTCAAGCCCGCATCCAAGTCCGGCGACCCCGTGTGTGCCTGCAAAATGGGTCTCACCGACTCACTTTTGAATGTTTCTCTCTCCTCATGCTAGAGTTGATAGTCGAAATGCTTCTGCTAATGCCTAGAAGCCTTTTTCGACCCCCAAGGAAAGAAGGTGTAGGTAATCATGATTGAAACAATAAACACATAAGATCTTCAATTAAGCATAACAGATAAAGTGCATGGATGACGATGGATTTGGAAAATACCTGGTAACCACCACCACCGAGCCCAATGATCTTACATAGTAGGAGGGAGGAGGGGATGAATGTTTTGGACGAGTCGAGTTATCTCTCGATGTTCAAGATTGGTGGGTCTGATTTCCATATGGAAATTTTTTCCCTCTCCATCTCTTTCCTCTTTCTCCTTTTGTCACTTTTTGTGTTTGTGAGTTTGTAACCCCAGAAAATTCTCCCTAAATCCGCTTACGTGATTATGAATCTTTTTTTCCGATCCCCCCTCCCCCTCCGATTATCAATCGAGATTTCCCGATCCTATCCACCATTTGCTGCCGGGCTGGCCTACCTCGTTCTACCGAGTATAGCAGGGAAGTACTGATCTACACCCCAACAAAAGTAGACTGGAATTATGGTTCATGACAAGCTCGGATCGTGTCGGGAAAGAAGAGAAACAGGGAGCGGGAAGCAGAAATAATTCAAATTGGATTAATCATGGACCAAAAATCGAAATGACATCTTCTTGGTTGATATGATCGCTAAATGAAGCAAAAAATCATAAATGGTAAAAAAGAAACGAAGATTCGACCCGACGGTGTTCTAGGCAGGCAGTGCAAGAGAGCGAGAGAGCGAGAGAGAGCAAGAGCAAGAGCGTCACAACATGCAGGAAGGCAAGCAAGCAGGCTTAGCGGTAAAACCGGCGTAACGAGAGAGAAGGAAGAAGGAGCCAAAAATACCAGGCTCGGTTCACTGGCTGCCCTGCCCCTGCTTCTTTTTACTGCTGCCCGGCATTCCCCACTCATCCTTCTTGCTTCGATTTACCCCTGTTATTTTTTTTTATTTTTTTATTTTTTTAGTTTTTTTTTTAAATCTTTTGCTTTTAACTTTTCTTTTTCTTTTTCTTTTTCTTTTTCTTTCACATTACTGTACACGGGTTGGTCGGTCTGTTCGGTTTCCTTCCTACCATACTCCGTACTGTCTGTCTGCCGTACTGCCCTCCTCCACCCTCCACTATCCATCATCATCATCGACGGTATCATCCACAGTCCACACGCTCACATCCACCCACTGCACCCACACCCACCCCAGTCACTTTCGATGCGCGCTAAGAAATGACTCCCCTGGCCTATTCTGTATACTATGAATGGTCATGGTTTTTATTTTAGCGTGGTTTCTTAGTTCGTGCGCAGTAGTTGGTCAATCCCCCCCCCAAAGCCAGTCTTATCCACAATGAGCGCAAATAGTAGCATTCAACTCTCTTGTAGGGCCAGCAATCACATAACATTTAACAATGCTTTTACTCCCTCCTTCCCTCGTCAACTTTCTTCTCCAGTCTATATCATTGTTTTCTTTTTCTCTCTCACCCCTCTCTCCCGATTTATCTTTCGGCCCTCGCCCTCACTTGTCTTGAGTGTCGTTGTCAACTTGTTGACATCGTCCCGGTATAGACATACATCTCTTCCCACCACCAACGAACCTTCCCTCACTTTGAACTCGTTGTCACTCCTCACCACCCACCCTGCGAATTGCAGCGAGGTACAAAGAGCGTCTATCGCACATCCTCGCGCATTGTATCCACGGGTTCCGCTCTGTCGTATCCAAGGAAACAGCATCAGGAATTGTAGGTTCCCCCGCGCGGCCCGGTCCCAGTACCGTACCTACCCCGAAACTCAATCACCATCCAGTATGAGACCTCAACAATCAGTGACCTCAACTGACTCAGTTACCCTGCAGACCCAGTGCTCGCTCTTACATACTCGACCCTAGTCGTCGGATTCATTGCCTGCATACAGGCTACCACTGCGCATTCCTTTTCGGACGTGCCTGCACAACATGCAGAGTCAAGATTTCGCCGATTTTGTCCTCTGTCCGGCTCAATTCACCACCGACAACAAGAAGATGCTAGCCCTTGCTCTCGATTCCACCAGACAACGGCAGACTTCCTACGTCCCACAGCTCGCAATGGACTCCACGTTGGTCGACCCGTTCGCCTTCCCAATGGAAGGCATGTGTGATTATGGGCAGACGCACGATTCCTCCGTCGCATTGCAACCACCCTATTATGACACTCCTGCCATGTACTCGGACGCTTTCGCTCCTCTCCCCAAGACCTCCAGCTTCCCTGCAATGCCCGTCACACCTCCTTCTCTTCCTCTTTCCGCCGATCACTTCATTCCTGGTCTCTCTACCGCTTCAGGACCTTCTATCCCGAGTGCCTCATCGTCCGCCATGGGGTCACCCCACTCAGGAACAGCACATTTCATCCAAGAGGAGTGGATCCAGACCACGAACGGTCTGGGACTCGCCGACGCCCTCATGGGCGACTTCTTTCCCAATGAGTATGTCAGCGGCGTGACGGACACGGATGATTTCTATCAGAAGAAGTGGATTGAGAATTGTGTCGGTTCGTGCTTTCCCGTCCACATAGATTTTGTTCCTCTGCTAATCATGAGTGATGAACAGATCCTTCAGTAATTCAGCCCAACTCCCAGCAATGTCATCTTTCACCACCCGCCATCTCTTTTTCAGAGGCCTCCGAATTCATGATCGCACAGGACAGCTTCTTCCCCCAATCTCCCAATCCATCTCACTACCAGCTTGCAGAGCCCTATTCCACTACACAACCCTTTCCCCACCAGCAAGCTGAGTTCTCAGCTGCTTCTCCCGTTTCCACCGTTTCTCGTTCACTTCCCGTCTCCGCATATCAGCGAAGACCATCCGTGGCTTCGGTCCGGTCTCGCCTGTCTCAGTCCAGCCCGGCGTCGAGCAGCCTCGACTCCGATGATGAAACCAAGGAAAAGGGCCGATGCCCTCATCCCGACTGTGGACGATTGTTCAAGGACCTCAAGGCCCACATGCTTACTCACCAGTCCGAGAGACCTGAGAAATGCCCAATTGCAACTTGCGAGTACCACATCAAGGGGTTCGCACGCAAGTACGACAAGAATCGGCATACACTCACCCATTACAAGGGAACGATGGTGTGCGGATTCTGTCCGGGATCTGGGTCGCCCGCTGAGAAGAGTTTCAACCGGGCGGACGTCTTCAAGCGTCATCTGACTTCAGTGCATGGTGTTGAGCAAACGCCACCCAACTGCCGCAAGCGAACCCCCGTGGCTTCCATCGCCAAGAATGTGTCTGGTCATAGTCAAGAGGCTACTGGCAAGTGTTCTACGTGTTCCATCACCTTCAGCAATGCACAAGACTTCTACGAGCATCTGGATGACTGTGTGCTACGCGTGGTGCAACAAGAAGAGCCTAGCGAAGCCATCAACCAGCAGCGCCTTGCCGAAGTCGACTCGGACGAGGAGGTGAAGAAGACTATGGAGAAACACATGCTACTCGACACGGCTGGTACCGTGGATCGATTCAGCGACGAAAATGACGACGATGACGAAGACTTCTACGAAAGCCCCAACCAGCGGTTGGCTAAGAACTTCCTGAAGGTTCCTCGGGGTAATTCCACCGCTCGCGTTATCCTGGGCAGCGGCAATGCCGTCACTAAACCCTCAGCCAACAACAAGATGCGTGCGACGGCGACCAAGCGGCGGAACAACCGTGACCGGTACCCTCAGTCGTGGGGATGCCCCAGCAGCAGCATCAAGACCAAGAAGCGCGTGCTTTGTGTCTTTGATGGTCAGCGTCGTCTATGGAAGGATGAGATGATGCTTGACAACGAGTTCGAAGTCCGGCTCAAGCTCCCAGGTGGCGCCGGAGATGGTACCAACCGGGAGGCATACGTGACCGATCTGGATGTTGAGACTTTGAAGCGTGCCGAAGGCGTGCTGAGTGCCAACGACGAAGAACGTGGGCCGTGGCTCAGCGGCCCAACCACGCAGATGATCGGTCGGCCAGCCGTCCCACTACCCGACGTCGCTTATTCGCATGAGAACCTCGACGAGCTGATGGCCTAAACCCATCCCTGCTTCGTGTTCTTTCCCTTTCCCATTCCCATTCTTATCTTATGTCTTTTGCATACCTGTGTCTCCTGGAAAGCGAGCCGACTGATATTTCTTTTCTTTATGTGGCTGTTTTTGCGTTTCAAACTCTTGACTGATACCATCATATCCATGTTCTTTGAGCCCCGTCTGTTTTGATTGATCTACTCTTTGGATCATGCTGTATTATATATATATCCAAATGGCTGAGAAGCACACCCAGGCTGGGCCGAGGGTCTTTTTGGGACCATGAAATGAAAAAAGAATCGGTGTCCCACTTTTACCACTTTCTCCAGAAAACAGTAGTTCTAGCTGCAATCAAAAATTCCTGCTTACACGGACAGCTCTGTCGTGTCTATAGTTCGAGAATAGCTGCCACCGCGAGGGCTCTGAAACCAACCCAACCCAAGCAAGTATAACTTGACCAGTCTCCCAATTAACTCCCCTCTTTCACCACGAATATTGCGTGCATCTTCGAGATAAGCTATAATGCTGTAAGCATGTCTACTCCACCCAATCCTCCAAAGACAGGGTAGGGTTGGAGTGGAGTCCTCTATCTCCCAAGGTCGCAGAACTTACTTCCACCCTCTCCTTCGCTCCTTTTGATCTTTCCACATCGTGCGATCGAATGACGCTTCGTGTCGTGCCCATGGATGAACACTGTTTCTCCGCTGGGGATTGCGCGCCCCTAAATGAACGTCAGCTTCAGCTTCAGATCACATCATCTCTTACTGGGGTGCACTTAGAAGATTTGGAGTTGGGGAGAGATGATACGATACAATACGAGCTGGGCTTTTGGCTGAGTATCTCGACAGAACTGGAGCGGGCCGTTTTGGAGTAGCACTTTTTACAACTACGATATGTATGTGTGTGTGTGTGTGCATGTGACCATGGGTTGTGGCTACGATGGGAAGAAAGAGGACTCTTGGTTTGAACAAAACAGATGGGGATGAATTGGAATTGGAGGCTTATGCTTGCTTGCTTGTTTGTGTGAAAATTAGGTGTATTGTGTAGGACGGGGGAGGAAGTCCCTGGTTGGACGAACAAATCATCCCTAAGCTTGCTGCTTCTCCAGCTGGCGCTCCAGCTCCATACTCTCGGCAAAGGATTCCTTGAGTGCCGTCACCTGCTCTGCGGCCGGCACGACACACGGCCGGCGGGGGAGGGCGCCGTAGCCGCGGTAGGACTGGAGGGCGCTCTTGACGGCGACGAAGCCGCCCTGGATGGCGTGCCAGTCGGCGCGGGCGACGACGGCCTGGAGGCGCTGGGCATCTTCGACCTGGCCGGCGCGGTACAGGTCGAAGACGCGGACGCAGGCGCGGGGGATCAGGTTGGCGACGCCGCCGATGACGCCGGCGCCGCCGGCGACGAGAGTCTGGAGGGTGAAGTCGGCGGAGCCGCCGAAGGTCAGGAAGCCCGGCTTGGCCTGCGCGGCGACGCGGGCCAGCTTGCCCGTGTTACCGCAGGTGAGCTTCACGCCGACAATGTTGGGGTGGGCGGCCAGGGCGAGGATGTCATCCGACGACAGGTCAAGCCCCGACGAGGCCCCCGGGAAGTTGTAGATGAGCACGGGTACCGGCGAGGCCGCGGCCACCAGCTCAAAGTGCTCGCGAATGGTCTGGGTCGTGAGAAGGGACTTGTAGTACGACGGGGGCAGGACCAGCACGTAGTCGCCCCCCGCTGCGGCGGCGTCCTGGCACAGTTGGATGGTCTCCCGGGTCGAGGCGGCGCCCGTGCCGACGATCAGGGGCTTGGAGGCGGCACCGTGGGCGTCCAGGGCCCGTCGGGTGGCGGCGGTGATCTCGTTGCGTTCCTCTCGCGAGAGGTGGACGGCTTCGCCGTTGCTGCCTTGCACGACGAGGCCGGTGACGCCGGACTGCGCCAGATAGGCGGCGTGCTGCTCGACGGTGGGGATATCTAGGTCTTCATTGGGGCTGAAGAAGGCCACGGTCGGGACGTAGATCCCTGGTGTGAGGGGACGAGGTGTGCGGGCCATGATGTATCGTGTCTGTCTGTAGATGGGGGATAGTTGCGGCGAGAGTTGCGATGAATTAGGTCAGCTCGGGTCTGTATGTTATCGCGCCGACGGCAGGTTAGCTTCCAAGGCGAAATAGATATGAGGGGACGAAACTTCGGAACAACAAGAAGGAGGGTGAAAGGATTTAAGAAGCACGAGAGGGGAGGGGAAGGGAAGAAACTCACATGGATCAGTTATCGGATTGAATGAATGAAGCCCTGATCGCCCTTCGTTGCTTTCTCCATCCACCCCCACGTTCTCCCCCACTTCAAGAGGCCACGGCGCGGGGGGATTTCCTCCTCTAAGCTTCGGACAATTAGGAATATGGAATCCAGTGCGGAAAAAGAATCTTCATCCAGGTCCCTGGAGGGGGTCTCCCCCACGTTTATCCTCGGAAACATGTGCGAGTAGCTCTGAATATGAGCATAAATGCATCATCTCCGCCCACAACTGGAGCGGAGAAGGAGGAGAGACTGGAGGATAATGTGGGGTGCATAGTTTCAATTGGTCCTGGGGGGGAGGGGGGAAGAGAACCCCTGTCTTCCAGGTCATCGAGTCTGTCATACCAGAAGTATTGAGAGAACAAAAAAGCGAATAAATGGATGGGTGAATAGGTGAATGTGCACAGAATGGATGAATTAATGTGTGAGGTGGTGAAGATGGTGAAGATGGTGAAGATTAGATTGAGTGAGAAGCAGAAGAAGAACAATACAGTAACTAAGTATGGTCACGTCTGAGACAGGTCTGAGACAGTACTCCCTCCCTCCCTCACTCCCTCCTTCCTCAATTATTACATACAGTTACTACGTACATTCCTCAAACTCTCTCGCCCTCTCACTTTCTCTCTCCCCCAAATCCCAGACTGCAACCTCCAAACCTTCAACTGCCTCGTTGCCTTTCTTGTTCCCCCCGAATTCTTCCGCAAGCCTACCCACCCTCATAATCAATTTGTCGGGAACGTGGAAAAGAAGGAATCCCAAGCTGCCTCAAGTCCCCCCGATCAGAACATGCTCCTGTCGCATTGGCAAATCTCCTCCTCCCTCTGAGCTCCTCCTCTCCTCTCCTCTCCTAATGTCCGCCCGTGTTTCACTGCCTCGACCACTCGATCCGCCGCCTGCCAAACGAGCTCGACTGCAGGAATCCTCTTCCTCGTCGCGTCGTCGCAAGAGCTCCCCCGATCTACTCGACGTCACCAACTCCCAGTCTCATCCTCGACCATCGCATCTTTCCTCGCCATCGCCCGCGGCCTCGTTGGCTCCTTCCCCGCACGCCAAAGTTGCATCTGGAGCGCAATCCCGGCGGGCGTTGACGCGCCGTCCGCTGGTCTCCTCCAACACGACCACGTCTCCCCTGTCTCCCAATACTCCGCGACACTCCGACCGTCGTCGCATTCTACGCCATGAGACGCCCGTCAATACTCTACCCTCATTCTATCTCCACCAGGAGCGTGAATCGCCCGATCCCCTAGACACCTTATCCCCCTCCGTCTCCCGTCGAATTTCCCCCGCCGGTCGCTCCTCCGCTCTTTCCTCCTCCGCCGCTGCCGCTGCCACCGCCGCTTCATCGGCCCGTCGCCCGCGCCGTCAAGCCCCGCCCTCAGCACCAGACGCAACACCCATTCAGGAAGATTCACCAGCTGCAGTCACACAAAGATCAAATCGTTCCACCCGCAGCGCGGTCGCTTCTCAGACGGCCGCTGAATCTCCTTCCAATGCGCGGGAGTCACGGCGCTCCCTCCGCTCCAACGACACAGGCTCTCGCGCCCGCAGCGAGCTAGCGGCCTATTTCCCCAACTATGAAGAGCTTCTCAGCCTGGAGCCGCCCAAGACCGGTATGTAACGACCGTCAATGATGAAGGTCTCCACGCACATCAAGGCTTACAATACCTGCTCCAGAATTCCTAGCTGGTAGCACCACCATCAAACTCATCGATGACCTTCCTGTTCCGATCGTTGCTCGAATAAAATCCAATTCAGAGTTAGATCTGGACCGTCCTTTCGGGAATCCGCTCGTCAACCTTTACAATTGCGAAGTTATTGCTCTACCCGAACCTCCTTCGTCCCCGTCTCCCCCCTCAGACCCTTCTGCCGACCCGATCCCCGAAGATCCCCTCGATGAGGGCATCTTCTTCCGCGCGCATCGTCGTAACGAGCGCCAGGAAAAGCAGCTCCGGAACATCGAACGCGATCGAGCTCAACATGAGAAGCAACACCTTGACCGTCTCCTCGATGAGCTTCAAGGTCACGACTGGCTCCGAATCATGGGCATCACTAGCCACACGGAGCAGGATAAGAAACTTTACGAGCCCAAACGCGACTACTTTATCCGGGAAATCTCCGCTGTTCTCCAGAAATTCAAGATTTGGAAGGAAGAAGAAAAGCGCCGTAAGGTAGATAAGGATAAACCCGCCGAGCAAATCACCGCCGATGCGAAAGAAGCAACAGCGACAACGACCACTGCCGCAGCAGCAGAAGACCGATCGACAGCAGATGCAGAGGGGGAGGGGGCTGCCGCTCACACCACTGCCGCAGCAGACGGAGGAGGGGGTGACGCCCAAAGCTATTCCGGTGACCCACCAGACCCCAACGACGTCGATGCCTGGGCTGCTCGCCAACTTCTTCAGGAGGCTCGGTCTGCAACTACTGCAACGGGGCCGACAGGCAAGAAACCCAGAACCACCCTCACCGCGCCCAAGCGGGCCACCATCACCGCATACTTCCAGAAGGCCGGCTCGTCCACGACGACAACGACGACGAGCACGACCACTGTTCCGCCTTCTCCTCTTCCCCCACCGCCGCCATTTGAACCCGAAAAGCCATTCACCTCTTTCTTCACCGATTCAGATACTTGCAAAGCAGCCCTCTCGGCCTACCGCACGGGCGCTCGGACGCCGTACGCCTTTGGCCATCGCATCCCGGACTTCCAGCCACGAGACTTCGAGCTGCCGCCAGACATGTTGACGCCCGAGGCCATCGACTCCTGCCGGCGGAAGAAACGGCGAATGAGACGGGCGAGTCGGGGTTCGAATGAATTGTAATTTTACCATACCATTAAGGGGGACTTGTTAGCGTGCTATACATACAACAACCCTCGGAACGCATAGACTGCTGACTCCATGGCCCGGTTTTCCCTCTTTCTTGCCTGACGAGCACATGTGCGATCCATGTAGGATTCAAACTTTCTTAACGGAATAGAACTAATTAATACCTATCTGCTGCGGCAGCCAAACCTGGTATGCTGGCTTGGGGGCGAAAGGGGACTTTTCTGCGTCTTACGACCCGTTTTAAAATCATATTCCCGGGTGTCTAGCGAAGGCTAGAGCTGCAAGGACTATGCAATTTTTTTACCGGAATGTGAATTATGTGCGGAGACATTCATTGACTCGATTCCAGTCCTCATTGCACTTGTGAACCATGAACCCTTATATACAGTACAAGTTCCGCGTGAGCGTCCTCCCTGACAGGGCGCCTCCTTCAGATACTGGCAGTCAATGTTTGGGAAAGAAAAAGAAAACCACGCAACCAAAGAAAATTGTATCTCCGGTTATAAGACGGAGAAGAGGCATCCCACTCGTCCGGCATTGTCGAGTGTAGTCGGATAGAAGTATGAAAGGTTAGTAGTACCCTTGGAAGTACCAGCCCTTTCAGGTCGCATTGTCCGCGCACGAGAAGCTCATACTACTAGGATGATCGTGGATCGCTTTGCCGGAGACATACAATCCCAGAAAGCACTATCGATGAGAAGATTGTCAGCCTGAAGCGTCGCTCGTCCGGGGAGTGGATAGTGTATGTACCAAACACGCAGCCACAATAAAACTAAGGATGTTGAGCATTGTCAGGGCGGTTTTGCGTGGCGATGAGAACCACTGGCCGCGGTTCATGTATAGCCAAAAGACGCCACTACAGCCGAATGTGAACCAGCTGGCGAAGAGGGCAGTCTAACTTGCTTGTTAGTGCTGTGCTTCGTAACGGAACAATGGCGAATTGCTGAGGGGGACAATGGGAGCCGTACGATCAGACCGAGCAAGTTGCTGAAGACAGGGATGGCTTCTGCGATGATCCACGCAGTCACCCACAAGCCCAAAGCAATACCGACCCAGGAGCTGATGGCAATCCAATCGCGCTTGTGGATCCGATCAGTGCCGCTAAAAACGCGCAAATAGATGTACTTGAAGGCGACGTGGCCGTTGATCACGCCAGCAATGATAATCTGGTTCAATCTATGTCAGCGACTGAATACTGCCAATGATCCGAGGCTGGAGCGATAGTCACTCACAGTGGGCAGAGCAACGCCATATGCAACCTTCGACACCATGGGGCTAGCGGAGCTCAAAGCAGGTGAGGCCACCTCTGCACCACCGTACCGATATATCACGACAGCTGCAATGATGTACAGCGAGATATCGAAAGTCTGCAGGAGGCATAGCGCCTTGGGGAAGTCCCGGGTATCCTTCAACTCCGCTGCTAGCCCGAAGTAGGCGGCATGTCCAGCTGGGAAACATGGTCAGCGCAGCTGAGAGGGGCGAGGTGGTCTCGAACTTACAGAAAGCAAAGACAATGTTGGTAATGGCGCCGAAGCCATGAGTGAGGTCAGTAGGTACAGTGGCTTCCACACCTTGTCCGGGATGCAGAATGCCCACGCCAAACATCGTGATAATCACCGCTGACAGAATGCTGGCGAAAGCTATTTCCAGATTAGCTGTCTGACCAGTGACCAGAAAGTCCACCGAGTGGGCACGGGACGCATACAAACGAACGAGAGCCAGGACATCTTGACTAGCGTACGAGGCAGCGAGCAAATGAATGAGATGATCAAGCCGACCAGACCAAAGACAATAGAACATGTCCCGTGGCCAGTGATGGCGTTCATAGCGATGATGAAGGTAAGCAGATGGCTAGCCATCACGAAAACTAGGAACAGAACCTGACCAACACCAAGGACCTCTCGGCCAATCCTGCCGGCGATCACCTCCCCTGCATCGGCCATGTTGCAGACCTGGGGGTATCTCCACTTGAATTGTCCGATCGCATAGCCAGTATAGGTTGCCAGCATTCCCAAGAGGAGTAGCGCAACGATGGAACTGTGTGGACTGTTAGTCGGTCTGATCTCCAACCCCATCTTCGGAGAAGAAACATACGGAGCTAGACCCAGGCTAGCAACAGCAGCAGGCAGAGACAAGACACCCAGGGAGACTGTTTCGGCCACCATGATAACACCGCATTGCCTAGTATGCAGCAGCAGCAATGATTAGTCGGACAAAAGGTGTGTAACGGTGCAGACGGAGATGGCATCATATCACATACCACCATTTTAGGACTTTGTACTTGACCTCTGCGAATTCCTCATCGCCAAAGGCATCCTGTGCCTTGGAGGAAGTAGAGACCTTGGACCTCTCGTCCACTTCCAGCGGTGTATCACCGGCCACATCCATCTTCTCCTGGTGCTGAGGAGTTGAGGTGTCTTGGGAATTGCTCATGGCGAACAATATAACTGATTAGGAAAAGGAAGTAGATTTGGGAAGTGAGTTCAAGAAAGAAGAACCGAGGCAATCTCGTCGAAGAAGCTAATCGAAGAAGCTAAAGAGTATGAACGGCTTGTCGAGTAAGAAGTAGAGAAGTCAAAGAAGTGTTCGGTAATGAAGTTGAGAAAGAGAAGAGGAGTAAGAGAAGAGAAGGGAGAAGGGAAGGTACGCAAGATTGGCCAGGAACCCACCGGGGAAGAAGAGGTCGGTTCCCAATCCAGTCTTTCTTCTCTTCCAATTCATTTCCTCTGCCCATTCATTCATTCATTCATCATCATCATCATCATCATCATCATCATCATCATCATCATCATCTCCTTACTCACACTCACCCTTGCCCAGTGGTCAATATCAGAAGATTCAGCTTGCCTGTGATAGATATACCACTACACATAAGCTTTACGCCCACGCGTGGCTGCAAGCATTGTAAGCCACCACAATGCAGCAACACTTACAGGCAATCAATGTTTGATTCAATCAAAAATCATGACTCAATGCGATTCCCAATTCAACGAGCGATCGCCTCGAGCAAGAACAATCCTGCCCGCACTCAAAGCAAACGACTTGGCATATGGTTCCACAGCATCGGTCCAGCTGCAGCTCAAGGCCGATCTTGAATCTAGAATGAATCCTTGTCGGACCGTTTTCCCGGCCCTCTGCTGCAATTTGGTCATTTGTAACACCGTCGGATGACCTTTCCACACGGGGCCATGCAAATCAGAGTTCTCGATGCAAGCTGCACTGCATCCAGAAGTCACCCGGTCCATTGAAACCCCCGACCTCCCTGCATTTCGACGGACAACACACCTACGCTTGCTGCGTTATGCAACCCATTGCAGTAGCTAGGGTTACGCTCCAATGTATGGTGTCTTTTAGAGAAGATCGGAGGATAAGACTGGCTTGGATCCTTCAATGCAATTGATAAGAAAAAAGCCTTCAAGGCGAGATCTCTTTGATGACCCTGGCGAGCGCTCTCCCGCTCGAGCGCCGCAGCTGCCTCTATCAAATTCAGCCTAATGCTCCGCACCCTATCCCTTGATCACGCTTATCACGCTTCACCGACATCCCCGATGATCCACTCCCTAAACTACCCCTCGCTTGGACTCAACAAAGAGGGATTTTACCCCTCAGTTCGCTTGGCTCTGACTGTCCTAGCCGCGTTAACCCACTTATGAAGCTCACCATGGCCCTGCTGCTGCTACTGCTGTAGCCTTGTAGACTGTGGAGCTTATATATGATCGTACTCAGATCCTTGTGGCATTCTTGACTGTAAGTCTCTGCGAGCTTAGCCATTGCGACAAGATCCCAAAATGAACAATTGCAGAGATGAAGAGCACGGCAAACTCCTCCCCAATGGAGAGGAGAATGCAACATCCCGAACGCCCCTCCTCGGCTCTAAAAGAGCACAGGATAATATGGGCAGGATCATGAGCACCAATTTCAGTGCGCTGACAGCTGGATTCAATGGTACAGTACACACATACGCATGCTCCCTCATACTCATGATTGAAGTATACCATGAATGCTAACACTTTCTTTCGTGGGGACGGCTAAGACGCCGCTCTAGGAGTTTTGATTCCTTATATCCAACTGACCTACCACGTTGGCCTGCTTCAGGTCTCCATGATCTACCTCGTCAACTTCATAGGGTGGCAGCTGGCCTCCTTCACCAACATCCACATCTGCTCACAGATCGGCACCGGCGGCACCCTGGTCCTTGGGGCCACCATCCAATGTATTGGCTATGCGCTGATGTTCTGGGGGCCCCCGTTCCCCCTCTTCGCGGCCGCCTTCTTCTTCACAGGCTGCGGCGTGGCCCTACAGGACGCGCAAATGAATACCTACACGATCACCGTGCAAGACGCCCACCGGTGGCTCGGGATATTGCACGCGGTGTACGGCGTCGGCACGATCCTGGCTCCGTTGATCGCCAATACCATCGCCGCGCGCACTCCGTACTGGCAGCACTACTATCTCGCTACAATGGTGGTCGGCGCCGTGAATCTCTTGTTCCTGGCCTGGACATTCCGACGGGGGCTTTTCAAGCCCAACAGCAGCAGTGCCAAAGGCAGCGCCGCTCGCGACCTGAGAGCGACGTTGACGAACCGGACAGTGTGGATTCTCAACGGGTTTTTCTTTTTGTATGTGGGCGCGGAGGTCACGGCGGGTGGTAAGTATTACATACCCTTTGCTGAGGAAGAGGTATCGTAGTTGCGATAATTATACATTGTGACTAATCTCAATCTTCTAGGATGGCTTGTCCAGTTTCTCGTTTCAGTGAGACACGGTGATCCCGAGAAAGTAGGCTATATAGCCTCCGCGTTCTGGGCCGGTTTTACCGTTGGACGAGTGGCTTTGGCAGACATCACGCACAAGTTTGGCGAACGACGGATGGTCTTCGTCTATATGACATTGGCTATCGCTCTACAGTTGTTTTTTTGGCTAGTGCCAAGTATAACAGTCAATGCCATTACGGTGTGCTTCCTAGGTAAGCATTGATTCATGCCAATTGTCTGCCAGGCATAGACAATGCTGACGCAGACAATCCACTACACAGGGTTTTTCATCGGGCCATGCTATCCGGTCGGACTTTACATTCTTACCAAGGTGATACCACAAGACCTGCACGTGGGAGCCATGGGTAAGTATCATTTGTGCAAGTAAACCATAGACACTAGGCTGATAAGCAAACAGGTTTTACTGCGAGTTTTGGACAGGCGGGATCTGCCGCTTTCCCATTCATGACGGGCGCCATAGCCTCGCGAGTTGGAGTTCAAGTCTTGCAGCCGATCATGGTGGGGTTGCTTGTTGGAGTTATCGCCTTCTGGTCCTTGGTTCCCAGGCAGAGTTCGAGGAGTGCTTGATCGGTTTAGCAAATACAGGAGACCTGAGACATCGCCCATTTGCCTCGTTGATATGTTAGCAGAGTCATTTTTCAAGGCGGTGAAAAGGTTTGTTGTGTAACGCTTAAGCATAGTTCAGTTGTATGCTTACGTGCAACCTGAAATGGAACGGGTCTGGTTGAGCGGAGGCTGTTAAGGCCATCGAACAAGCCGAGGGCTTGCTAGCAGCATGCCATATTCTTTGTACAGGCTGTGCTGACTGAGTGTGTAGCCAACATGATTCGAGTCGTTCGTCATAGGACTAGAGAGTGCTTAGTATAAGAGCATAAATTGACGCGTAACGAGAATTGCGAATGAGGGATATTTCAGAGAGAAGATTTTAGTCGTCATAGCCTCACACATCGGCAGATGGTATGGCGTTCCGACTAAGGATGACTGATACGATGTTTTCATCATAGAAGGTGGATGCAAAGGTAGTGGAACCGAGAAAAGCAAGGACTTACCGGCTTTAACAAGCAACGAGCTGGTTGCCTCTAAAGCGGACGAGCAGGATGTGTGTTGTCACAATCTCCAAGGCAGCTCAATCATCATAGGAAATAATCTTCCTTCCGGTGAACAGAGCCGCCCGCCTGGACGGATCCGCATAAGGATCGGAGGACAAACCACTCCGTCCCGCGGCTCCAGAGGAACCATGCTGCTGCTGCTGCCTCTGCCCACCCCCAGCATCGCCATAATCCATAGGCGAATCACCATCATCTCGCTGCCTTTTCTTCCCGACGGACGATTTCCCATGCCTAGGTGGTTCAGCCTTTTCGCTAGCACCAGCACCAGCACCAGCACCAGCACCAGCACCAGCACCAGCACCAGCCTCAGCAGAAACAGACGCGCTCTGCGCCACATCAGCACCGCGCTCCTTTCCGTCATCATCATCACGCCGATCAAGTGCCCTCTCCGCGCGCCGCGCCTTTTCTTCTGCTTCTTCATCCTCTTGCCGCTCCCTCTCCGCCTCCTCGCGTAGCTCCCTCTGCCGCAATAGCGCATGGATCTCACTATGCCGGAAAATCTGGATCTGCTCGTCCGTGAGGGTCCGTTTGACCCCGTCGGGGTAGTAGCCTAGTCCGTCATCATCTTGTTCTTCTTCTTCTTCATCATAATAGTAATAAGAAGACTGATCTTCGGGCGCGGAGGCGGTGGCAGTTTTTGATTGGGTCTGAGGGGCATGGGTCGCTAGGGGTGTTTGTGCTGCAAAGCCACGGCCTGGGAAGTGTTTGGCCTGGAAGGCTTGGAGGTCTTCCTGTGCGGGTTAGGTTGTTTTCGTTCTCTTTCAGTTTGGAGGACCGGGGGGGCCGGGATGGAGATTACCAAAGTTATGGGCGGTGGGGGGATATGGGATATGGACATTCTGTTGCGGGTTTTGTGTTTGTGTTTGTGTTTGGTGGAGGGCTGGGGGTGAGGGAAGAGTGAGTGATTGATCTTACTATGGTTTGGGTGAAGGAAGCAAAAGCTTACTAGCGCGGCGGGCCCGGCTAAGGAGGTCATTACCGCTTTGGGTGGTAATTTACAGGCTGTATGGTATATGACCGTCTGGTACCGCTTCTACCTGTAGTGCTCGAAGTACGGTATATGCGTACATCATGCATTCATTCACTCATCATGAATATTTACACTCCAAGAATTGATTATCCCAGAAAATCAGTTCAGAGGGATGCTCGAGATCTGGTTGCCTATTTTCACCTTTACACAGTCAAAGCCGACCTTGAGGGTGTGAAGCTCGCGCAGATCGATGTTGGCAAGCTGCTCTTTCTCTGCCGTCGAAGGCTCGGTCAGGCTCCAGGCAAGGGAGATGTGGAAGCAACCCGAGCAGTCGGTCTCGGTCTCGGTCTCAGGCTTCGTCTTCGCTCGCGAAGATTTTGCTGGGGTTGCAGTTTTGGCCTCCGCCGACAACAACGGCACAGCCTTCTCGTACAGAGGCGGCTGGTCGAATCGAGCCAACGCACGATTCGACAGTCTCAGCAGACGGTTCAACTCGTCATCCTCGGGGGTGCGCACCCGCAAGACATGGAACCACCGCGTCTTCTCGTAGTTGGAGACACAGTCCAGACTAATTGCTGTGGTGTCGAACCTGAGCAATTAGGTGAGGGTGTCAGACTGTGTCACAAAAAAAAAAAAAACACGGTATTCCGATTTTAGAACAGAAGGAGAGCAAATACGCACGGTGCGACATTGGACTGCTTCAAGGCGGATTGAAAGACCTCCACGAAGGATTGACGCTGCTCGGTCCGGAGCACCACCGGTCTTGATAGACTGATGTGGAGAGGCAGTTGGGCGCCAAGATCACTATGGAGCAGGCTGTGAAGCTTTGTTTTGCTCCCGCGGAGCAGCTGCTGCTGGATCTGCAGTATCACATCGCTCAGAAGAGTAAGCTCGGCTTTGGACGCGTACCCTGATCGTCGTGGCGCGCGGGGTTTCTTATATTAGCTTTTATGTCTCTCTTTCGTATTCGCAGCCTACAATAGGAGGAAGTAGTGGTGGTGGTGGTGGTGGTTGTTGTTGGTTGGACGGACGGACGACTTACATTCCAGATATAGATGCGTTGGCCAGTTGCCCTCGACATGAGGGATAACCCGTTTACGACCTCCATGAAGACTTGGGTCATCCCTGACACTGACCCGTGTGCTTGAGGCATAAAGGTCATGGAAAGCTGCTGGTAGCGGAGGGAGAGGAAGGGATTGGGTGGGCGGTGGCTTGGTCGTACAGAGCTTTTTGTTGGGTGGTTGAGACGCGTGGACTGGCTCTGAATCGGACCCTGACTCTGATTCTGACTCCGAGTATTGCACTAGGGCCATATCCAGCACAATCCACCGTCCTCCGGCGTGGCGCGACAAGAGTTGATCGGATCTAGCCTGCGAGATGGATAGGTTGTCTCTCAAGGTTTAAGTTTAGTTCACCAGTTCCGTTCAACGCGGGAGAAATAAGCGGGATCGGTTATGATACGTCTATGTAGTACGGTGGTTGATTCCGCAGCGGAAGTAGTGCCATGTCAAAAACCAACGTGCTCTTTTCCCAAGCTAACTTATTGGTGGTGAATAAGCGTGCTATTTTCTTTATCCTGCTTGCTTTTTCTGGATTATGAGGCGTCTGCGATCTCATATTAGGCCACCTTCTTCAACTACCGAGACAGCTTATTGAGGTAAATCAATCTGTGACGGTTCCACAGCGTACATATCACACATCGAGGCTCAGATGCAGCTAAACTGATAGGCAACACGAGTGGGTGCATATACAGTTTAATGTACTTCTTCTTATTGCGAGCGAGAAGCTTTCGTCTTGGGCCCAGACTTCAATCGCCGGGATGGGAGCCATGGAAAGGAGGTTTACCCGCTGGTTCTTCATCAAGCAAGCAATGTAGCTGTCATAAGCGGATGATGCGTAGAGAATATGCAAGGTGTTCTCGACTTGAGTGCATCATGAAAACCCTGCCCTACCCTGTTCCTGGTACCTGGAATCATGTATGATTCATTGGACCGGCCCTGAGCCCGGTGTAACAACGGTTTCCATGCATCATTCAGTGCAGGGTAGAATACGAAGCATGGCTAGACTCCAGACTCCAGACCCTTGAATCTCCACCCCAATGGTTATCGAGTTTGCACTGACAGGTCAGGCATTGACTTAGTGGGAAGATTATAGTAGATGGCGCGTGCATCGCTGCTGTGGCCGAGCTAAATCATTCCCAGGAGTTCCAAAACTTGTTTCAGCCGGGCTTTACTTGTCCTACTTGAGTATGGTTGGACCTGAGCCGCTGACACTACCGGCATACTAGCGATAAGCTTAAGGTTAAAAGCCCTGATGGGCTTGGGCCTGGATCAAGCGAGAGGTTCACTATTCAACCTCGAAGACCTCTTCTCTCGCTGATGTCAAGCTATCCCAACTGGAAGGTAACATCATGGCTCGGCTAGAAATCGAAAATTTTTCTCATGTGCGTCGTGCCCAACATGGCTGGTGATGATGTCAACAGGATTGGAACGTCAGAAGAGGGTCAACGTTAGTCAGCCAGCAATGCCAGTCAGAGCATACGAACGTGACGACAGACGGAAGATCGCACAGTGAGCAGCATTATTGCCACCAAGGTACCACATGAGCCACCCGGAGGAGGAGGAGGAGGGGGAGGGGCTATCCAGAGAGTCCCTCCGGAAGTCCCGTAGAGCCACTAACGCAGCACCGACCACGATGAGTGGTTCATGAAGGCTAGACCGGAGAGGTGCGGCGAGGCATCGGAAATTCGCCTCTGTTCCTTCGTGGGTTCTTTTCATCATCGAGAAGGGTCCGATGCAACAGAACGGGTCTAGTCTTCCGGCCCTATCCTGCAGCTAAACTGGAAGGGGAAGGCTTATCGATAAGCGTCTCCAGGGCCCCTCCCAGATCGCGTGGATCCACGGGAGCACTGCGCAGTATCATACGGAGCATACGCAACTTGTCACGTCATGAACGGCAAAAGAAAAATGATGAGGAGACTGACTGATACTGACAGGCGGTGCTGATGACTCTGATGGATGATCCTTTTCTATGAATACTTATGAGTACTTCATCTTATAGATAGATCGCTTCTTTTCTTTTTGCTCTGCAACATCTTTTTCCTTCTCCCTAAGATTCCGACCACTCCAACGACCACGCATACTCCTACTACTAATACTACGGCCCCTACCTCCACGCCTACAACTCCCATTACGACCAACTACAACCAATATTACTCTCCTGACACAACCTCCTTTCTTCCTCCCACCAATCCCCGTTACTCCTGTGACTCCTGTGACTGCGGGTTAGACAATCGACTCAAGGTTCACAGTCTATTGAACTATACGAACTGCCACGACTTCACCGCTTGCCCCACACCCGTTTTGAGTTGCGGGCTGCATCACGCAAGCTATTCACTAGTGACCAATACTATTAGGTGCCTACATACATTTATAGGCACGCTTCGAAATATTGACCGATATATATTACTCTCGAGCACGCCGGTTCAATATCCTTGAGTGAAGGCTCAAAAATCTCTCTTCCTCTTCATCTCTTTCTCTCTTTACTCCTACTTTTCTCCAACATGGCAGCGGTCATCGCCCCATCTTTTCCTAATCCACATGAGTCTTCCTTCCTTCATCCCAGGCACTCAATGAACCTGCTCGATACGGAAGTTGAGATGGGAAACCTTAATCCCTACCAACAATTCCTGTCTTCCTCCCCAGCCCCCGCCCGGACTCTGAATCGTCAACGTTCTACTTCATTCCCCTCAGTCCATTATTCGGGTTCTCCAGAACATCAGCCTGTCGAGCAACGACGTAGGAAAGCGAGTCCCAGTCGTCGCCATCGCTCGCAACGCCACGCTCGTACCCAGTCGCACCAGCCGAGGTTCTCTCGAAACTCGCAGTTGGTGAACCCCGATATTATTGATCGCCTGGACGACGCCGGAGTATATCAGTACCACCATGAAGGGCCCTACGATGCTGTCTACCCCGAGCGAAATGTGATCGACAAGCTCAGCCCGGTGGCCGCCCTGCGCGAGTCTAACGCAGAGGCCCTCAAGGCTACCCCACACGACAAAATTGTGGACTGCCTTGATAGTCATCGCCCCCTCGATGGTGTGGCTCATTACCCCCCAGGTCACACGGACCCTCAGGGCCATACATACGAATACGAGGAGGGAAACAACATGATGAACGACTACGGGAACTTTATGCGCTGTCCCGGCATGGTAAGTCACTTGTCTTGCGTACCGCGGTGTTGGTGAATGACCAGTCGCTAATCATTGGGCAGAAATTCAAGGATGAGGATTTTAAGAATGACCCCTTTTACAACACTCCTCATCCGAACCCATTTGCGAGTCTGCGCAAGAGATTCAGTCTTCGTCGTCGTAACCGTCGCGGAACGAATTAGAGTCAAGTTACAAGTATTCCCGCCGGACTATACCGGCTGTGACAACTGTGCTCCTGAGTCGATTCCAGGCTGAATCGCGAGCGCGCAAATGTCTGGTGACATGATCCCCAGAGGGAACTTGGATACATTTGCTTCCCCTGTATTTATATATACCATGTTGTCTTCTTTCTACCGGCCATGGCTCCGGTGAACAAGAACGACGACAATCTATGCTTTTTAATCGGAGTTGAAGCACGAAGTTAGCGTTTGGAGGGGCATCTTCAGTCGGTGGTCTTATGATTTAGGACTTTTTTTTTTGGTCAGCATCGGGATGTATTTTCGTTTGTTTTTGTTTTGTTTTAGTTTTATGTCCTGACTCCTGTGTCGGTCTGGTTACTTGACAATTTAAAATTGGACGACGTATCACTTGATTTGACACCGCTCATTCCGGATGGAGAAGTAGTTGATGGAAATGTAGTTAGTCTATAGGCGGGACCAGTCCAAACCTGGAGACACTAGTAGTAACCATACACCTGCCTGACACCTCATAAAGCTTGAACTCGGGGTCGCTCAGTAGCTTTCGTTCCAAGTCGAAGCGGCTGCTGCTATTGAAGGTCATGTAGCTCATGCAAGGTGTACTGTGCCGCATGCTACTCTATTAAGACGGGTCGCACCGGTACATACATACACTGAGCCAGACATGACAACTGCGCCGGTCAATGATCTTCCGTGCCGGGTAATGCGTCAGTCACCATTACTATCTCTGCAGTTTTGTCCTCTCTTTCAGAATTCCTGAAGCTGAATCACGGAATCAAGGAAGACCTTCTCCTCGATCCTGACAATAACCAGACGAGACAATAACTACCAGTCAGTGGTGGGGGCGGGCGTTAGTCTTGGCCCTGAACGCATCCCTTAACAATGGGAATACAATGGATAGAAACGACCTCCTTGTTTTCATGCCCGGGTCGATGCTCGAAAATACCTCCTTTCTTTGTCACAGGATCTCAATCAAATTGATCCATGCGATCGATGTATGTGAGGGTGGCATGCTTGGTATGGGCTGAGGTACGATCCGGGTGGGGTTTGCTCACTTGGCCGGAAGGAACTGCATACTCTAACTCTCTGGTATCAGGAGTCAGGATAATTAATAATGTGAAAATCTGGCAGAGACCAACAGGCACCGGAGTCAGGAGGTTCGAGGCGCAGGCGCAAGGCGATAAACCGATATCGAACCGTCGGAAGGGGACTCACTCTTTATTATGATTATTATGATTATTGATGACTACTTGCGGGTCATGCAACTCCGCGCCGCCACCGAGGACAGCTTGTCCACTTCGCAACAGCAACTGCAACCTCTCTCTCTCATTCTTTTTCTTCTTGACTGACTGACCTCACATCCCTCGTTCTCCCTTGTTTTAGTGATCGCGCACCAGTCCTTGATCTAACCCTCGTTTTGGTGGTGACTTTGATTGCAATTATTTGTGGCTCGGCCCCGCGAAAAGTGTCATTTGGCCTGAAACTGTTTACTTGCTCCCCCGGAGTACTTCGGCTCGACTTGCCCTTGCCGTTGATGATCTTCATGTGAAGGTCAATCCCGACTTCCAATCTCCGCCAACTATAGTCTATCCAAACAAACACATACCTGAAAGCGACCTCAGCACATTTTGCTGGGATCTCGCTTCTGCCTGTCGCTTCGGAAGAGCTCGTGCTCTGCCTCCGCCACACGCCCGTTTCCTGATTTCGGTTGCTTTTGCCCGCAGCAAGATGCGTTCTGCGGCCAAACTTTTCTACCTGGCTGTATTTGCCCTCTCTGCGCACATCAACGCTGAGAGCCATGAGGGCAAATCCGGCCTACAGTATGGCCATGACAAATGCGCGGTAAGTCGCAATACGCTTCTGGATTCTGGCTCATCAGCCGGCTTTTCTCGCGAGTCAATTGAGAGGCGTTGAGACTGATCGTGTTTTGTCTAGCTTGACCCTACCGCTATGGTGTCCGACGCCTGTGTTTCCTATACGACTCTCGATGCCCTAAACGATCAAGTCTATCCTCTCCTCCAGTCTATCACCCAAGAAACCGACTTCTTCTCATATTACCGTCTCAACCTCTTCAACAAAGTCTGTCCCTTCTGGTCGGACGCCAACAGCATGTGTGGAAACATCGCATGCTCAGTGAATACGATCGAATCGGAGGAAGACATCCCCTTAACATGGCGGGCAGAGGAGCTGAGTAAACTTGAGGGACCCAAGGCCGGCCATCCAGGTCGAAGGCAGCAAAAAGAGCGACCCAGTGATCGTCCGCTCCAAGGGATGCTGGGTGAAAACGTGGGAGAAAGTTGTGTCGTCGAGTACGATGATGAATGTGACGAGCGAGACTACTGCGTCCCTGAAGATGAGGGCGCCAGCAGCAAAGGAGACTACGTCAGTCTGGTGGACAACCCCGAGCGATTTACTGGCTATGCTGGTATGGGCGCCCACCAGGTCTGGGATGCGATCTATCGCGAAAATTGTTTCCTCAAGCCAACCTCCCAGCTGGAGCTGTCGCCCAACCCCCAACTGGGCAATCTTGAAGCCATGAACGACTTCCGCAGTGTGCTACAACAGGAATTGAAGCGCCCGGATCGTCTTCCCCTAGACAATGAGTGCCTTGAGAAGCGGGTCTTCCATCGCCTCATCAGTGGAATGCATGCCTCCATCTCGACGCATCTCTGCTGGGACTACCTCAACCAGACGACCGGGCAGTGGCACCCCAACCTGCAATGTTTCAAGGAGCGCTTGCACGACCATCCCGAGCGCATCTCCAACCTGTACTTCAACTACGCTCTGGTGTCCCGGGCTGTGGCAAAACTGCAGAAGCACCTGAAGAGCTACAACTACTGTACCAGCGACCCCGAACAAGATACTCAAACCCGGCAGAAGGTGTCGAGGTTGACTGCCACTCTTGCCGAGCGGCCTCAGATCTTCGATGAGAACATCATGTTCCAAGACCCAAGCGCCCTTGGTCTGAAGGAAGATTTCCGCAATCGCTTCCGCAATGTTAGCCGGCTGATGGACTGTGTCGGGTGCGACAAGTGCCGTCTCTGGGGCAAGCTTCAGGTCAACGGATACGGAACCGCCTTGAAGGTGCTCTTTGAATATGACGAGACCAAGAACGGCGAGAACCCCTTGCTGCGCCGGACCGAACTGGTGGCGCTGATCAACACCCTTGGTCGCATCTCCCACAGTGTCGCCGCAGTCCGGAGCTTTCACCGTGCCATGGAGGTCGGAGACGGCGAGGTGTTCTCGATCCCCGCCAGCATTGCGTCGAAGGACCGTGGCGACAAGAAAACCCGGCGCCTGCTCAAGGACGGTGGCTCGACGTTCTACTACGAGAACGACGATGAGGACTTCGTGTATATCTCCGAGAAGCTTCCTTGGGACCGGGTTCGCGAACGCCGCGATACCGACACCCTCTGGGATGATATCAAGGCCGAATTCTCCCTTGTCTGGGATACATATGTCTATGTGCTGAAGAGCTGGGCCAACGTTCCGAAGACACTGTAAGTAGCAGGCCCTTCACCCTAACAGGCTTGTCCTCATGCTAACTTCGCAACTTTTAGGGTTGAGATTATCGTGATCGAGATCGCCCGTGTGTGGAATTATTGGCTGGGACTTCCGGTGCCGCCACGCGCATGGAAGGTCCGTACTCCTCGAGCGGCCATGCCCCCGCGCGATGAGTTGTAGGCTGTCTTGCTTGTGGTCAATGTTGTAAACATATTCCTTTCTGCCTATATTGTGGGGTGGATGGTTGATTTTGCATCGTTTGGAGTTTTGGATTGGCTGGCGATATGCCACTTACTGTATTATAACTTACATAACTTACTGGGATGGAGCAATTGTTGTTTGCTGGTTAGAATAAGATATCCCTGATTGACCTGTGCCAATGCAATGCAGACGAGATAAATAAATAAATTTTAGAGAATTGAGTATAGAATGAGTAAGTAAACCGTTTGTGGATGAACCGAGACTCGGAGAAAGCCCCAGACTGAGATCAAATCAACCTCGGCCCAGCGGGTGGGCCACCGACCGAGAGACCACATGCAGCGGCAGTTCTTTTCTCCTCTTTGTGACTCCACCTTCTCTTCCCTCCACCTTCTTCCCTCCACCGCCCTCCCAACTCCATCCATCTTTACGTTTGGCTATCTCTCTCTCTCTCTCTCTCCCTCTCTCTCCTTCTCCACCCACTCCCCCCCCCATACTCAAAAACAACTACTGTCTTTTCCATCCTCTCGACTTCGCATCCCACTCCCAGTCTCGCCCCCCCGACCGGCCTCTCGCGGGTTACTGCCCATGCGAGACTGTTGAAGTACCAGCACATTCCCGCTTATCAATGGCCTCGGTTTCGCCACCCAAACCGTGGGAAAGAGCCGGCGCTACGGCTGGTAGGAGCACCACAAACTAATTTTTCCAGCTCGGTGCATTCTTACTGACCTCACCATCAGGATCTGTCGCAACCACTACACCCGCCACGGCTGGTCCAGCAACGATGACGGCCTCTTCGCCAGCCTCGGCCGCAACCACCGGCGCCGCTTCAACCTCCACGTCTGCCACCCCTGATCTCCCATCTCGCCCCGACACTCTGAATGCCGTCGTGAACCGCACAGCATCCAATTACTCGCCATATGGAGCTTCTCGGCTAGGCACCAGTCCCTACGGAGGCTATGGTGGCTACGGGGCCTACTCTTCACCATACTCTCGCTTCGGGACGATGGGGTCAATGTATGGCGGCTATGGAGGCTACGGCGGGATGTACGGCGGCATGGGAGGGATGTATGGCGGTGGCATGCCTGGAGATCCGAACGACCCGAACAGCCTGACCAACTCCTTCAGTCAAAGCACACAGGCGACTTTCCAAATGATCGAGAGCATTGTCGGTGCGTTTGGTGGCTTCGCCCAGATGCTGGAGAGCACCTACATGGCGACCCACAGCTCGTTTTTCGGTATGTTGCATCGTTGTCTTTGTTGGATTTACATATGCTGATGTT